GCCACTCCGTCCCTCCCCCAGCCTCTGCCGCTGCATTACCTGCAGGGAGCAAGGCATCCACTCTGTTGTTGTTGCCTCCAGGGAGCAGGCCGGGGGGCCAAGGCCAGCGCTCTGTCCCCTGTGTCCTCACCATTATGGTGGTGGGCTGTATTCTGTCAGAACACTTCTTCGTGCTCCAATTGGCTGTTTGTCAGCCAATCAGAGCATGAATAAAGCATTATGGACAGACAGACAAACAGACTTAGGCTTTTATAATATTGGAAAATGCATTGAGGAAGCATGGGGGTGGGACATGTGCCCCGCCCCCGCAGGTTTCTGCTCCCAATAGTGGGACGTGGCCTGGGGCTGTAGCCTGGCCAAATTGGGACCAGCTCAAGACACAAGATGCCTCTGCAGCCCAGCGGGCAGTACCTGGTGTGGGAGGGAGGAGCAGCATGGAATGACTCAGTTCTGCTGCCACCAGTAGCCCCACACCAGGCTGCCAAAGTGAGGTGCACCCTGCCTGCCTGGCAGCAACAGGGGTGGTGGCAGTGCAGAGTTCTGCCCCTCCCCCACTGCAGCAGCGGGCAGGGGGTGCCTCAAGTTGGCAGCGTGCCAAGCGGAGTGCCGCCGTGACGGTGGGGACCAAGCGGGGGCGGTGAGGAATGCTGCTGGACTCGTCCCCCTCCCGCCCAGCCCTGCTCCTCAGAGGTGGTGGCGGCACGGGGTGCTGGTAGAGGGGAACAGAAGGGACTGCAAGACAAGTTTCCCCACCCTCCTGGGAGGCAGCAGTGGCATGGCAGGGGGAGTGGGAGTTAGGGTTAGGCTTATGGTTAGCAACCTTAAATATATATATATATATAAAACATTGTAAATATATCAATAAAATATTGTGTTCAACTGATATATCTATTATATATTTTTATGTATTATCCGTTGAGCACAATATTTTATTGATATATTTACAATTTTTATATATTATCAGTTGAACATAATATTTTATTATATAAAATTGTAAGTATACCATATATAGGCAAACTGCCCATCGAGAATGATACGGGGGGGAAAGCTTGCTAACCATAACCCTAACTCCCACGCCCCCTGCTGTGCCACTGATGCCTCCCAGGAGGGCGGGGAAGCTTGTCTTGCAGTCCCGTGTCCCCCACTACCAGTTCGCCGTGCTGCCGCCGCTACCTCTGAGGAGCAGGGCTGGGCGGGAGGGGGACGAGTCCAGCAGCGTTCCTCACCCCCACACTTGGTCCCCACCGTCACGGCGACACTCCGCTTGGTCCCCACCATCATGGCAGTGCTCAGCTGTGCTACCGCCTCCTGTCTGGAACGCTCCTGGAGCACTCTAATTGGTTGTTTCCGTAACCAGAGTGCTCCAAGAGAGTTATGGACTGAGACACAGATGGACTAAGCCCTTTATTATATTAGAATAATATAATCTAATTAGAATACTGATGTAGATAATCAGTTGAACACAATATTTTATTGATATATTTACGATTTTATATACATTTTAGATATATTAGTGGAGTTTCATTTTGATCACAGAAAAACACGGATTTGGGGGTTTTTAATACGAGAATTTGGGATATTTTTAAATCACACTATTTGGGATTTTTAAACAGAGAAAGCCAGGATCCCTGCTCATCACCTTCAGGAGCAACTCCACCAGAGGGTTGGCAACAGACAGTTTTCACACTATTACATTTATGCCAGTTTGGGTTGTATTTTTTTAGATGCAGAAATTACACTAGTACAAGTTGTAGCATGGCTGCAGCTATACTATGCAATGGTGTAGTTATACTGGTATCACTTATTCTTTTTCTCTTATAGCAGGGGCAAACACAATCAAGCCTCCTGGGCTGGATCCAGACCACAAAGAGCCTTGCAGGCTGGATCCAGACCCATCAGCAGTGGCAGGGTGAAGTTTCCTGCTTCACATTCCAGTCACACGAACAGTGCAAAGAGGATGCTCGCAACTTGCTCTGTACTTGAGCCACAGCCACTACCTCAGTACCTTTGACTAGGTTCCTACTCTTTCCTGAGAGCACAAGCCTAGTTTCAATACAACTAAGCAATTCGAGCATTTGACAGGATTCCTATGGAGATTTCTGTATTTTCCTCAGGTCCTTCTTTCTTTGCACTGCTCATCTCAGAGCTAACCAAGGACCATTAGCATTTACTGAACAGGGTTGTTTGTTTGTTTGGACAGACTAACTTTCAGAGACTGTGAGAAACCATTAACAGAAGCAGCTGTCCTTAGGCTGCTCACATTATAAAGAAGCCAGTGAATACAGAGAAACAGTTCTACTGAGCTGTTACTCAGACTACATTAGAAGTTAGGGGTGGCATGGGCACTAAGGCACACAGTTAACAGTCCAGAGCTCACAAGTTTGAGGCCACAGCAAACACTTCCAGCACAGGCCTGTCAGATTCCAACAAATCTGTGATTTCTGCTAAATACCTCATCACAAAGACAAGAAAAAGGAAGGGTAAAATCCAAATTTTGCCCAAAAGCCAGGTTAATTGCTTGTCATGTTTCCAAATGTTACCTATTTACATTTTCACTGACACCCTGCCACACTTTTAGCATCTTTCATTCCTTGGAGTCTCAGAACAGCAGAGACACCCTATGCCTGAAGAAGGGTGACTGCCTGAAAGCTTGCCAAGAACTTTTTTCCAACTATTCCATTGGCCTAATAAAAGATATCATATCTACTCAAAGAACCTTGCCTGCCTATGTCCTTAGACCAACAAGGCTACAACCAAAACCCACCAACTTGCTGAGGGTGCCCTCCATCCCATCTTCCTAGTATTCATGAAGATATTGAACAAAGCCAGCCTCAGAACTGACCACTGGGGCACTCCACTTGATGCCAGCTGACAACTAGATATCAAGCCATTAATTACTACCCTCTAAGCCCAACGATGCAGCCAGTTCTCTATCCACCTTACAGTCCATTCATCTAACCTGGACTTCCTTAGCTTCCTTGCAAGGATGTTGTGGGAGACTGTATCAAAAGCCTTTCTGAAGTCAAGGTAGATCACATCCACTGCTCTCCCTGAATCTAAAACCTGTCATATCTTGTCATAGAAGGCAAACAGGTTTGTCAGGCATTATCTGCCCTTGGTAAATCCATGGCAATTAATCCTAATCACCTTCTCCTCCTCATCCAAGTACTTACAAATGAATTCTTTGAGGACCCGCTCCATGAATTTTCCAGGAAGTGAGATGAAGCTGACCAGCCTGCAGTTCCCCAGATCCCCCTTCCCCCCTTTCTCAAAAATGGGCTTTTGCCACTGTCGGCTATTCACCTCCTCCCCAGACTGTTCCACCAGGTACAGTAGTCTGGGAGCTGACCTTGCCTGTGAAGACTGAGGTTAAAAAAAAAAGGCACTGAGTACTTCAACCTTTTCCTCATTATCTGTCACTAGCTTGATTCCCCCATTCACTAAGGAACCCACACTGTCCCTCAGCATCCTCTTGTCGATGGCATACTTGTAGAAACCCTTTCTGTTACCTTCACGTTCCTTGCTAGCTGCAACTCCAACTACACATTGGCCTTCCTAATTTCATCCTTCAGTTTCTGAGCAATACTCTTATACTCCCCCACCTTCCCCCCAGTTATCTGTCCACGTTTCCACTTTATTTTTAAACTTTTTGTGTTTTAGTTCACTAAAGAGTTTCCTGCTAAGCCAAGCTGGTCATCTGCCATACCTACAACTGTTGCAGTGTGCTGAGATGGCCCTGAGAAAGGTCTCTTTAAAGCACAACCAGCTGTCATGGACTCCTTTTCTGTCTCGGACTGGCCTCCCAGGGAATCCTACCCATCAGTTCCCTAAGTGAGTCAAGGTCTGCTTTTATGGTCCAGGGTCCTTACTCTGCTGCTCTCATTCCTTCTTTTCCTCGGGATCCTAAATTCAATGATCAACTGCTGCCCAAGGTGCCATCCACTTCTACAATCCCCACTTATTCCCATTTGTGAGAAGCAGGTCAAGAGCACAGCCCCCAGTCGGCTTCTTCAACACTTGCACCAGGCAGTTGTCCCCAACACTCTCCAAACCTTCCTGAATTGCCTGTGCAGTGCTGTATTGCCGTCCCAGAAAATGTTAGGGTGATCGAAGTCCCCCATGAGAACTAGGGCCTGTGATCAGAAAATTTCTTCAAGCTGTTTGAAGAAAGCCTTATCTACCTCATCCTCCACAAAAAACTAGAACTCTTGGTAAAGAGTTATCATTTTGATAAAAGGTATATCATTTTGGAACCAAGAGTTCTAGTTTTTTGTATGGTCTACACTACTGGATGCAAACGATCTAAGTCATCACAGATGTTGGAACCTGGCCTCTGACTCCAGCAGACATCATATCATGTGTACTTCTCAAACAGGATTATCCACTGAGCCCAT